CACAGCATATCCTTGATGACAAGGCTTTCTTTTTCAACCATAAAAAGCTTTCAAACCATTTTGAATTCAATGGAAGTTTTTTTTACTCCAAATTTGTCCTGGGGATAGTGGGACAACTTCACTTGTCTAGGACCATCATGCTTTCCCCCTAAGTCACTAATGTCCCCTTCTTGTTTGTGGAAGCTGGTTGTTGCTCCCTCATCACCTTCATGGTCCTGTCTCTCCTGTCTCTCTCTCACCTGTCTCTTGCCTGTCAGTCTCGCCTCCTCCTCCCTTTCCTACTCCAGCACCTTCATTCATATCATATTGCTTCTAACGTTCCTAATGTAACTAGTAAGCTTAAATCACTAATTCATTACGGGACCTTACCTCCCTCTCTCTNATTTTTCATTTGGATGAAATAATAGCTGCATGAATCATGACAGCAGACAAGATAGAGGAGTCAAGGGCGTAGGTTTGATTTCAACTTTGGTAGTTCAGTTTCATTGGTCTGATGTCATTGGTCCTGTGCAAAAATATGCATGCTTAATATGAGCATCAGGGCACATTTTTTTTTAAAGAGAACAGCAGCATTTCTTGCTACATTAATACAAATCTTATAAGCACTACACACACTAGATGCAGTTTATCAATGTTTAAAGCATCACTGGCTCTGAGGAATGTGGAATTAGGACTTTTTTCCACTTTGAAAAGGTTTGCATTTAAACCAGAGACTAAGACAGTGTCTATTTAACCAAATATAGTCTGAATATGTCTGTTGTATGTAGATTTATCCTGTGTTTTCTTTTGAAGATATTGAATTGTGCAAAGGTAAACCCCACTCTTATTTTCATATATAATATGCTCTCTCTGTTTCATGCAAAATAATACATTCAAGGGACGGAAAATAATTTATTTACATGAGCACTGGAACAATAAGAGGAACTGAAACTGAGCATTTCAAATATTAACTTCACTATACAAGTTACATCTGGGCTGTAGTTACTCTGTGTCGCCAATTCCATGTATTTTATCTGGGGATGAAACAATTAATCATATTAATGGATCATTTAAATAATCGTCATCTAATTTAGTAATTGGTTAATCATTAACCGGAGTATAGGGCCACTAAAATGTACCTTTAGCCGACAGAGTGACCCACTTAGAGCAGAAATTATACCAAGATTGTAAAAAATATGTAAACGTTTTGCATTTAAGATAAAAAAATTTTTGTCTGTCAATATTCTCCATCAGAACTCCTCAATAGGAAACGTTTCTGTTTCACCTGGTTTCATTTAGTAAAAAATCTTCTTTAAGGAACCTTTGGCTATCTGATTATTAATTGATTTATCGAAGAAATAATTGACAGATTAACCAATTTGCAAAATAATCATTAGTTGCAGCCCTAATTTTATGGTAACATTCCAAATACATTTCTTAATACAGCACTGAAGGGCAGCTGCTTCACCCTGAGGCTGCCCTGCATCATTATATCTGTTTCCTACAATCATATAATGTTTCTGTTATACAAGTGCGTTTTTAATAATAAAGGATTAAATGTAACACAACCTTTTATCATCATCCCATATTGCTTACTGCCTGACTGTGTCTGACTTTTTTAGAGGCATCATCTACAAAGCACAACACTAAGAATGAGCCTAAGTTTATTCCAATATAAAATCACTTTTAACAATTATAAAAGACAATATAACACTATCTTATCTGTAATCTAATAGCACCCCAAATAAACAGCCAGTTTCAAACATGATTTACCAGACATTAATGTTTGCACTAATTTACTTATGGACCGTGTGGAAATCTAGAAAAATAGAATCAGTGTAAATAGAGTTCCTCTNAGAGACATGTCCCCATAGTCCCTATGCAAACCTACGCCCAGAAGCTTGAAGATGCTGTCTGTGAGCATTATTGGTTGAACTCACTTACACAGTTATAACACAGGTGGCACTAAGGGGGGAAATGATGTTGAGATCCCCGTGGTACATGGAGGGCATTCATTAAATATCTAAATATGATCAATATAACAGGAATCTGGGAGATGTGACATTTATTTATTTATCCAACATATAATTCAAGCATGAAATGCACCATTACATTATAAAATGCATCACTGAATAAAAGAATGTCTCATTAAATTCTTAAAAATATATTCAAAATATTCAATGCAATAATTAAATGGGATTTAAACAAAACGTATTTAGCCTGAAGATAATTACTTCATAATAAATAAAGGTGGATTTATTAAATGTATTTTTAGAAAGTCTGTTGCATTACTTCTACAATTACAATTCAACCTGATCATCCAGTCAGATTGGTTAAAAAAAGTTTTCTATCTAAGGAAAAC